TATTATCCTCAAATTTTCGCGAAAAAGTTTTGAAGTTTGGAGAGAGAATAAAATTTTTACATATGTGTTGGATTTACACAGCACTTGTCTGTGAGAAGAGCGTAATGTTATTGTTGTAAAAAAATGACAGCGTTTCACTTCTTGTTTATTCTTTGGTTTTAATATCTATCTAAAGGCCCAAATAGACTACGCAAGCGGCTTATCAAACATACTTTTTTCATTCGCACACACACTACACAAACATTGCTCGTACAAACACCGATTTTTTCACGTTTTTGTGGACTTGCAAGGATACAGATGACAATTTTTCTTAGAAATATAAATTATTGTGAAAAATTTGATATTAATGAATATAAACAATACAAACGGTTTGAAAAAATTCAATATGTTTGTGTAAAAATCATTTTTTTTTAAATTTTTATACAAACAAACAGCAAGCATTTGTAGAAACACGAAACACTCTCATACACTACACAACAGGCTTGCACAAACGTAAAATATTGGTATGTTTGTCAAGCCGCTTGTGTAGTCTATTTGGGCCTTAATATAAAACGATATGTTTTGAAATTAAGCATTCAACCAAAGATAATACAAGAAATATTTGGTCAAAAATACTTGGACTTTAAAGCAAATTATTGTTTGTTGCCATATTCAGAATCGGATGTACTAGGAAATATTTTTTAAAAATTAACATCTACATATTTTAATTTAATAACACATAAATAAGAGATTTATTGACAATAAACTATCGTTACTAATACTTGTAGCTCAATTATTAGCGTTAAGTTGAATTTCTAAATTTATTCTTGTGTAGGGTTAAATGTGGCCTGAATTTCATTAAGGCCATATTTATTAAAATATAACAACGGATTTATTATAATATAACAAAATGACTGCATTAAATTTAAATATTAAATATTTACAAAGTACAATATCGGGATGATATTTTTATTGGATCTATTTGATACCATGTACCCATTTCCTGGACAAGAAATTTCATCAAATCATATCTAAAAGGTTAACATTGAGGGATAGACAAATATTCATCATATCAACATATAATGCCCTTTCTACTTCCTTTGTTTATTGTTTAAAAATGTCTAAATATATGTAAATGCATTTAAGAAATTACCAACTTTCAGCAAAAAAATTATTTTAGTACTCTGAGATCCAAAAAAGTACCCTCAGAAATATTTTTTGATACTGAAACAAAATCTCATTTTCCATCCCTGTTCAATACTAATTAAATTCATGGTGTTCAAATCACTTGAACATATTTTTATATTTTTTATTTTATAAAATATTTTATATTATTTAAATTTATGATTCTTTATATTTAGTGCGATAGCGCATGTGTGCAATACTAAGATAAGAAAAATCAACCCTTGTCTTGTCACACATGCCTTTATGATATTTATTTTTATCACTTGCGTGCTATACCCACGCAGTGATAAGAATTTTCACTTGATAAGGTTGAATGCACATTAAGTCGCATGAGGTCTTATCATAGTTCTAGTTAGTTTTAAGATTTTTATATTTAGTACTTAAGATTTTAATTTTGTAAATAAATTCAATGTCTTACAAACATTCGCCGAGTGTATTACAAAGCACTCAACAATAAAAATGTGTAAAAAAAATACGCTTCAACATTTGGTCCTTCGAGCCGGATCAGTGACGTATAGAAATCACTGTCCGTTAGAAGAAAAATTAAAAAAAAATAAAATAAATATTAACTAAAAAAGAAGTTAATATTTATAAGCATTGATCACTGCTTACAACAGTGGTCAAAATAAAACTAAAAATTAAAATCTTGTATTGGTGCGGAAACCAATCAAGATTTTAAAAATAAATTTGAAATAAAATTTATTATCAACAAAAACCTGGAAATCTATAACAGATTCCAAAAATCTAAAAAAAAATAACTTAATAAAAATAAGTTAATATCCATAAGCGTTGGCCACGGCTTCAGACAGTGGTCACAAACAAAATTAACTTTCAACAGTGGTCAAATCATAAAACAAAAAAACAATCATTGGAAATCTAAACAGATTCCAATTCTAAAATTAAACCAAAAAACAAAGCAAGAAAATGTTAAGCGAAGAATGTTTAAAGCAGCTGGAACGGCAGAATCAACTATTTATGAAAAAATCGATGAAATGTTTAAAGAGTTCAGAACTAGCATTTTGAAATGTCAATCTATAAACTCAGCTGATGAGGAGAAAGCTCATCAGAAAGACGAAGAAGAAAGTACCATAACTACAAATGAAGAACATTTTGAAGAGGGAAATACGGATGTGGTTGAGTTTACTATTTATGATCCTGACTTTTTTAAAAGAACCACAGAGGAAGTAAAGAAGCATTCAGGTGGTTCCGAGGAAGATTCTTTAAATCAAACTGGTGTTGCATTTGAAGCCGAAGAAGGTGCAATAGCTAGAAACGAAGAAAGCTTTGAAGAAGAAAACACGGATGTGGTTGATTTTACATTGTATGATCAATACGAAAATGAATCCACATTTGATGAATCCGAAATTGTTGATGAAATAAGATTCATAGATATCGTTTTTGGAGATGAAGAACATAAAACTGAAACTAACCAATTGCAAATTGGTATTGAAAATACTAAAACTACTGCGGTCTATGAAAATCCATCCAGTCATTTAGATCTACGAACAACACTATCAAAGAAATTTTCAATAAGTAATACCGCTGAAGGTGTCTTTGGGGAAGAAAAGCAACCTCCATAACCAATACCAAAATAGGGGTTGTGTGTCAGAAATTCGATGGTTATTCGTGTGTAGCTATCGATAAAGAAGCAGATGGCGGTGATGACAATCAAGATGTAGAAGAAAAATCAAATTTGGATAAAGATAGAGATGGTCCTTTAAAATTAGAAGGTGAACATGAAAACAATGATACTGGTATTGTCCTGGAAGCTGTTGAGAAGAAAATAAGCGAGGAGGAGACTGCAGCTATCGATGATGAACGAATAGATGGTGCCGCAGAAGACTCCGATGATAGAGAAGAAAAACAACAAGAAGAAAAACTAAAAATGGAAAAGCCTGGAGAAGAGAAGACGGCCAAATTGTGGTCATGTGTGCCAGGGTATTTTTGTCACAAGTTCCGGAAAAGGAAGCAAACCAAGGATTCTTTTGTGGATAAAATAATAAGTTATAATTAAGCACTTTACAATTCATATTTTACTTTTTCCCCCGGCAGAATGTTCAAATCACTTGAACATATTTTTATATTTTTTATTTTATAAAATATTTTATATTATTTAAATTTATGATTCTTTATATTTAGTGCGATAGCGCATGTGTGCAATACTAAGATAAGAAAAATCAACCCTTGTCTTGTCACCAGAGATACAAGCCGAGACGGCTCAAATCGGCGGCGGCTGGCCGCCGGTAATATTTTGCAAGCCGCGCCGCCGCCGACTTCTTTCGGCTCAAAAGTTAAGCCGGCTTAAACGTAGCCGCTGATAAAGATTAGAATCACACATGTATTTCAGAACATAATTTCACCAAATTGAACGGAGTTGCCACTATTTTAAATTCTTATGGCAAATTGAAAAGAGTTGTCACACAATATTGTGCTAATATTAAAATAGTGAAAACTACTATAAATGTCCATTTTCTGCAGAAAAAAACTTATATAGAGACAGGTTTCTATGTAACAGACTATTATACAAAGATTTTTCAATATAATAAACCTTATAAGGTCAATTTCTAAAGAAAAAGTTAAATTGAGCCGACAATTTAGCCGCCGCCGAAATTTTCTGTAATAAGCCGCCGCCGCCGACCCAAAATGGTTGCGCCGCCGCCGCCGATCATTTCCCATCGGCTTGTATCTCTGCTTGTCACACATGCCTTTATGATATTTATTTTTATCACTTGCGTGCTATACCCACGCAGTGATAAGAATTTTCACTTGATAAGGTTGAATGCACATTAAGTCGCATGAGGTCTTATCATAGTTCTAGATAGTTTTAAGATTTTTATATTTAGTACTTAAGATTTTAATTTTGTAAATAAATTCAATGTCTTACAAACATTCGCCGAGTGTATTACAAAGCACTCAACAATAAAAGTGTGTAAAAAAAATACGCTTCAACACATGGGTTTAAGAGATATAATTCAAATAAAGTAGTGGACAAAAGTTAAACAATTTTATTTATAACTTAGTACAACCATTGAGTTTTTTAATACCTGTAATGCCTACTACAAGAAAAATTCAACTTCAGCCAAATCGGTCCTTATTTGCAGATTTGTGAAGCTTTAATATATTTGTTATAATCGAAGTACTCTAATTTAGCACCACGTACCTCACCTTGTATTTTAACAGGGTTAAAGCTTATAGCTTCTATTGCAGATTTGTGAAGCTTAAATATATTTTTATAATCGAAGTAGTCTCAATTAACACCACGTACCTCACCTTGTGTTTTAACAGGGTGGTAACAATGTAAATTTTTAGTAATAAAAATTTCCTGTACTCAAGGAATTTCAAAGTTTGGGGAAATATTTGTATACACATTTAGAAAATTTTAACATATTCTTAAATTTTCAAAACGCGATATTTTTGGTCTGGAACGGGATTTCGATCAAAAAGTCATTGATTTGTTCCTTCAAACCATAATATATGTTGGAAATTTTATTAAAATCGGAAATGGTAAATCCAAAAATTGCTGTTTTCTGTCCGTTTTGTCCGTTCCCCAATTACGAAATAAGTAAAAATACCGATAACGCTAAAATACCAATAGCAAAATAAGTCAAAATACCGATACCGCTATCTTATCACCTTTTCGAAACGGTTGCCAACCTTGAGATTATTATATACCATTTATTTTTCTCCATAATAATAGGTGGGCCAATTTAAATTTCATCATACCTTGAATAATATTAATATTAATAATAATAATAATAATAATAATAATAATAATAATAATAATAATAATAATAATAATAATAATAATAATAATAAATTGTTTCTTTATAATGTAGAATTGCTTGATATGGTCCGAAAAATGTTTTCATTTTGCGGTCTCACACTATTTGCAAGAATCTAAATCATCGTACCGCTGTTCCCTATTGGCACAATTAATAAACTTTATTACATCGTATATGGAAGCAATTATTTTAAATGAAGGATTTCACATTGGTAAGTAAATTGTACTATTATTTTAATACTCTAATTAAACCTTAGGAGTATAAGTAATATTTATTAGTCATTTTGGAACAGAAATCTCCCGTAGCGAATTCATTTTATATAGTAACTAGGTATGTCCAATGTGCTTTACTACCCTAAACAATATACATACATAAATAAAAAACCCACTTTACGATTTTTAAACATTCTAACTGTAATGGATTTCCCAGATATACGTTATTGTATGTATTTCATATGGGAGATTCTACACCAGGATTCTAGTTTCCCATTTATACGAATTTTAGTATTTATTTCATAAGGGAGGTCCCGCCCCTATAAAATTAAAAGAAATAAAATTTATTGAACATTTGCTGCAAAAATTGTATTTCCTTAAAATCGCTTTTTACTTAATAAATTGTTTATGTATTGTATTTTAATTAATAATTCTTTCGTTTAAAAACGAAAACGCGTAATTTTCCTCGTTTTAAAACCGAGTACACAAATCTAGTCGAAAATAAATCGGATGTAATTTTATAAATTAAATAATTATTTTTTTTTGCGTTTTTAATACAATTGTAATTTAATATACATGTTATGGACATTTTAAACTACTTTTCATTTCAAATGTCTATTTTTCTGAATTTTACGTTCAAATAAAAATTCGATTTGCAGAACACCAAATTCGATTTTAAAAGTTTATCCATTTTGAAACCCATTAGATTAATAGAACAGACATGATTAATTGAAATTATTTCTTGCGTTTTCATTTAAAATCAAACATAATTTAATTAAATATTCTTAATATCATTTGTTCTTATCCGAATTTCAAATGAACATCTAAAATGACAATTCTTAATTTCAACTGTTTTGTTTCGAAATAAATGAAATATTTCAATTGTCCTTTTCTGAAATACAAATGAATAATACAATTTTCAAATTAACTTTTCGGAATTTAAAATGAAAAATCTCAACTTCAATTCTTCTTGTCCTTATTTCAAATGAAAATTCCATTATAGTTTTCATAGAAAAACTCATGTTATTAAAAATGTACGAATTTTAAAAAAAAATACTTTAAATATACTAAAAGTTTTTGTTAAAATTTTTAACTTGGAAAATGAAGGAACTCGGCATTAATGGAAATAACAATTATTTAAAATTCAAAACATTTGCATTGTCATCTAATGTCTTCTAGATTACTAATTTTCAAGGATTGGTCTAAAAATCAGTTACAAAATTTGAACCCTCTTAGATTTCAATGAAATTCAGTACACTGTACTTTAAGGTTTAGATTTTATCGATATTAAAATTTCATATTTTTAAGATTTTTTTTTCAACAAGCATTAATTTTGACATGGTATATTTTGTAAACTAAGTATTTAAGGTCATCTACCCTATAGAACCAAAATTTCCAAATTTGACTCCCTCAAAGTCCGGCAGTTCTGGACTGATAGCGCTGGAAATTTGTTACTATCCAATACTATCTATACTATCCTTGGTGCAAATTTCGTCAAAATCGATTTTTTGAGTTGGGTCACTTGATATGAAATTGCCTATAACTTAATTTGTTAAAATAATGTAACAAACGTATTTTTTTATCATACACACACACAAATATTCCAAAAAATTACAAAATAATGAATGAAAAAAAAAAAAACATGGCGATGAACTGTCAAAACGAATTACGAATGTGTCGTTGAAACGGATTAATTGGCTATTGTCTTTCAGAGGTCGATTTAAGTAATTCAACTGCTCGTGTGAAATTGGTTAACATTTTGGGTAATAAATTGGCGAACTACCCATGAGGGGAGCGGCACCTCCCATAATTAAATTCATTAAATAAAAATTTTTATTTTTTTTTTGGGCATTTGAACTAACTTAAACTAAAAAGAAATAATTTTCAAAATATCGCGAAAAATGATGATTGCATATTCGTTTAATAAAAAAAATCTTATATAATATAAAAAATAGCAAGTTTTGATTTATAATATTTTAAAAAACTTTCAACAGGGAGAACAATTTGTAAAACGCTCTCAAGGTGCACTTGCATCAAAAATGCATCTTAAAAAATATAATTTAGAAATGCATTTTTATGAAAGTGTACATTAGTGGTAATCGAATTTAAATATTTGCATTCCAATTCTGATCAGTAATGTATTTTAAGTTGTTTTAAAATCTGTTAATTTCTTAAAATATCAATAAAATTTAAAAATTTTCCAATAAAAAAACTTTTAAAAAATGGAAAAATGGATGTCACAAAAAAATATTTTTATATATTGCATAAAAAGCTTCAAATAATCGACTTATGCACTTCTAAAAATTTTAAACAGGGAGAACAATTTCAAAAATGCATTCAAAAAGTGCATTTCCATAAATAATGCGAATAATGAAAGAGCTCATCAATAGTAATAGATTGGGTTCTAAATCAACAAAATCCTATATGAACTCTCAAAGATATAAAAGTTCAAAGTTTTATACCTTTTTTGATTTTTTGTAGTTTTCGGACAAATTAAAATCGGCATAAAAATCGCGTTTCTTGAAATTTTTAAGAATTTCACGTTGATATGTCTTATGTGTCTAATAGAGTATGTGTTTACAAAAAATTAAAGAAATCTAAAATATCAATATCAATAAAATTTAAAAATTTTCCAATATAAAACATTTTAAGAAATCGAAAAAATGGATGTAATGGACGTCACAAAAAATATTTTTATATATTGCCTAAAAAGCTTCAAATAATCGACTTATGCACTTTTAAAAAATTTTAAACAGGGCATTTCCATAAATAATGCACTTAACCCTTTTAATATAAAAATTATATTAGAATGAAAGAGCTCATCCATAGTAATAGATTGGGTTCTAAATCAACAAAATCCTATATGAACTCTCAAAGATATAAAAGTTCAAAGTTTTATACCTTTTTAATTTTTTGTAGTTTTCGAACAAATTAAAATAACCATAAAAATCGCGTTTCTTGAAATTTTTAAGAATTAACCGTTGATATGTCTTATGTATCTAATAGAGTATGTGTTTACAAAAAATTAAAGAAATCTGAAGACCATCGGCCAATTCTTATTTGATTTCTCATGGAATTCATGATATACAAGTATGTATTACTACAAATATTAATTTTATATAGAAACTATACTATGCCACATACGTCTAGAAACGATGAATCTGTTCGGTATATTCTGATGTATTAAAGAAAAATAAAAAATTCTTTTACATTTTGATAAATGTTATGTTTTGAGAAATATAAATCATAAGACATCGTTTTTTTATTCCAATAAATCAAAAGCTTTTAAAAGAAAAATCAATTTCCTTCATTTTTTGAATTTCACAAAAGTCTACAAACGTTGTTTAATAATGTTTAATAAAATAATAAATTGCTTTACGAAAGGGTATTTTTATACCCTCCACCACCATCAGTGGTGATAGAGGGTATATATAAGTTTGTCGTTCCGTGTGTAACACCAAGCAATATTCCTCTAAGACCCAACAAAGTATATATATTCTGGGTCCTTATCAAATTCTGAGTCGATTTAGCTATGTCCGTCTGTCTGTCTGTGTAAAACACGCTCACGTTAAAACTAAGCAAAGGAAATCAACCAAATTCACCATAAATATTTATTATTATCCTAAGCAGTTTGTTATTGAAAATCAGCGAAATCGGTTCACAACGTAAAAAGTTATGAGTAAAAATTTCAGACTACCTCAAAAAAAATTACGTTTTTTTCATAATTCTTTTGAAGTTTTCTCAAAAACTACCAAAGATATTTCGATCAATTTTGTCATACATTATTTTTTTAGAGTAGTGATCAATTATATTCAAAATCTTTACAATCGATCCAATACTTCCCATAGCCCCCATACAAAGGTATATATTCCCGGAAATTAGTTTATCGTTAATAACTCCCTGAAATATATCGGTATCAACACGAAATTTTGTACATGTAAACATAATATGAACAGAAATCATACTGTCAACGTAGATCTCAGTCGGTCCACAATTGCTCATAGCTCCCATATAAGGTCCTATTCCGAAAATCACCTAAACGCACATATTTCATTGATGAATAAAGATATTGTGATAAAATTCGAGTTGAATATGTTTTGTGTACATACAAATCATTCTACCAAATTTTTTACGGATCGGTCCATTATTGGTCATAGCTCCCATATAAAACCCACTTCCGAAAATCATTTAAAAGCTCATATTTCATTGTCAACTAAAGCTACTTTGATGAAATTCGACACAAATATGTTTAGTCGAAATATAAATCACTCTACGAAATTTTTTCCGGATAGGCCCATAATTGGTCATAGCTCCCATATAAGGCCCACTTCCGAAAATCACTTAAACGCACATATTTCAATGCCAAGTAAAGCTATATTGATAAACTTCGGCACAAATATGTTTTACCTAAACATGAATCATTCTACGAATTTTTTTCCGGATAGGCCCATAATTGGTCATAGCTCCCATATAAGGTCCACTTCCGAAAATCACTTAAACGCATATATTTCATTGAATTATAAAGCTATCGGGATAAAATTCGACAGAAATATGTTTTGTGTGCATTGAAATCATTTCACCATTTTTTATACGGATCGGTCCCTTATTGGTCATAGCTCCCATATAAGGCCCTCTTCCGAAAATAACTTAAAAGCACATATTTCAATGTCAAGTAAAGCTATCTTGACAAAATTCGACACAAATATGTTTTGCCTAAACATGAATAACTCTACGAAATTTTTCCGGATAGGCCTATAATTGGTCATAGCTCCCATATAAGGTCCACTTCCGAAAATCACTTAAACGCATATATTTCATTGAATTCTAAAGCTATTGGGATAATATTCGACTTGAATAAGTTTTGTGTACGTACAAATCATTTTATAAATTTTTTACCTGTCGGTCCATTATTGGTCATAGCTTCTATATAAGGTCCACTTCTGAGAGTCACTTAAACACACATATTTCATTGTCAAATAAAGTTAATTTGAGAAAATTC